CTACCATTACCCATTGCTGAGCTTACCAGTGATAAAATTTCGTTGGACAATGCGGACATCCTGATGGACAAACAATTTTTTAAAAGTGGATTTGGTGTCTGTAATGTATAAAACGGAAAGATATCATGAAACGGGTAGATTCTATTCAATGTACAGACAAAATCTTTATTTTACTTATATATATTATAATTAATCTTTTTGATAAACAAAATTGCTTACTTTTGAATCATTCTCAAATGAAATTTTGTCTCCATCAGAACTTTTTTTCGTTTTTTATTTCGGGAAAGTAAGTTATATACTTAAGTTTATAGGGTTCCATAGAGAATACTTTAGGGAAGTTTTTATGAAAACCGTTACAGCCGTTTTAGTGCTGCAGTCTATAGAGAAACGTGTTTTTCTGCCGCCATCTTAAAACAAAAATACTGCTCTTCCAACTTGAAAGAGCTGTAAAGATGCGCAATGCTTTAAAAACAGAAGAAAAACATTCTAACATATGAGGATTCAACCAAAATGCATCCAATGCTTAATGTTATAGTTCTGCCTGGGTAATAGTTTGTATATACCGAATTTCTGCTAATCTAAAACCTATAGAAAACGGAAACTAAGTAAACCCACCTTCTACTGACGACTTTCAATGTAGTAAAAATGTCTATTATTTCCGAAAGAAAATAGATAAAAACTGAAATATGTATATGGCATGAAATATCTCTATGACGGACAAAGCAAATCTCGTCATTCCATTTTAGTTAACTTAGAAATGGAAAATACCAGGTTGATAACTAATAGTCGTACTATCCGTAATCAACACATCGTACAATCCATAATCAACCAGTGATATAATAAATAGGATTTTTGTTATTTTAATTTATGTTATTGGTATTTATTATTTGTTAGCTGTAATATTTAAGCTTTAGCTCAGTTAAAAATACAATTTAAAAATTTTTTAATAGCCCACCATGGCCAGAAAATAATTTATTTTTAAAGTTGAGCATAAGCAAAAGTTTTGTGTTGTGTGCACCAGATTTTAAAGTATACAGGTTTTTCAATGGGTATATTTAATATATAGAAAGGAAGTCGACACTTGTAAATTGTTATCAGAACTCTAAAGCCTTCCTGATGAAATATTGAAGTGCTTCGACAGTTATTAAATAATAGCCAGGGTTTTCTTTCAGACAAATGTTGACGTAAGATAATTAAATTTTAATTTAGACGCCACCTAATTACATTGTTTCTTCACGTGGAAACAATTATCCAGCTTAAACGAGCAGCTTAAATTATATTTACAACGAATTTGGAGACTGAAAATATGTTTTTTCCTTGAATGGATTAGGCATTAGGGTAAAGGCACCTATTACCTGACATGATAACAATTATTGACTATTGTAGCTTTAATTTAATGAAATATGCGTTTAGGTTCATGTATGATTTCAAGTTTAAGTTACAAGTGCCTATAATTGGTAACTTGTCAGTAATAGGTGCCTTAACCCTACAATACGACGTAATTTCATCACAAGGATTCAAAACTATGTTTTGTACATTTATCTCTTCCAATAAAGCAATGATATCTACATTACTAATAAGCGTTAAGGGGTTTACAATAAATCAAATTAAGTGTATTTTAAATTTAAAAGGTGTTTTTTTGCCCCAGTAGAATAAAAACTAAAACATATACAATAATGTGCAAAATAACACTATTTTGTAAATTATTATATTGTTTCTAGTTAATTACATAAATTTGTCCTTGTTTGATGGCTTGCAACATCATATCGCTCAATCAGTCAGGTAAGTGTCCTGTTCGGTATGGGGCCTACCACTGTAAACAGCTTTGATAGTAATTTGCTTTCGTTCATCATTAAAACTCACAGTACACATTTTCTTGCACTCAAAATCGGGACCAGACTTCTTTTTTTCCACTAACTTGCCACTTGTAGTAACAAACTCTTCCCCTTCACATGATTTGGGTAATGTCTCCGCAACCTCTCCTTTTCTTTATATGGCTGTCTTCAACTTTAGAAATTTCGGACATTTTATAACATTTAATATAACAACAGCAACTATAACCACAACACGTGTATCAACGAAAACATTACCTAAAATGCAAAACAGGACAAACACTGAGCCCTCTGGTGGTGGAGCTGCTTACTGGGAACAAGAAGGAAAAGATTTCTGGAATTTTTCCCTTCTTAAACTCAGCTAAAACTTTCACTGCCAATGATAGCATATAGATGACATGAATTTTTCCTTTTTTAATGCAAAAAAAAAAATGCGTTTACATGTAAATAACAAAATGGCTCTCTTATCTAAAAACCGGAAAAAAACTGGAATATTTCCCTTCTTCGTCTCACCCTTTCAATTATTGATGTTATAAAATTGTTCTATCTTTTTCAAAAGCTTTAAACCTGTAGATTACACAATGATGTTAATAAACTACTTGTCTTGAAATAATAATATCGTTTTAATCAAAGCTAAATTGAACAAAAGTTTCTAAGACGTAAAAAATATGATTCATAAGATTGCAACGCAATTTTTTAAATACGTTTTTTGGATTTATCAGGGAAAACTATCGTTAACCTTCCTGTAAATAAACGAGTAGACAATTAAGGCTCTGATCAGTTAAGTATGAGGGAAAAAGTTCAACGCAACCCACTTCTTCGTCGTATTCTCGTTAAGTTAGTTGAGTAGGTCTTATTGTTTATTAGGTCATGTGGTGGTTCGGGTTCGAGCCCTGCTCATTGTACTGTGTCCATTAGTGTCTGGTATTTAGTCTGGGATTTACGCAACCATGATGAAAAAATAACTTTCTAATTGACCACAGGGCTATAAAAATAATTTATATCTTTGATAAAATAAGCTACAATCTTAAATTATGCTATTTCCAATAATATCAAGATTTTATTGCATGTTTATTATAATCCCACAAAAAGGAGAAAGATAAAAAATTAGCCAATTACGGATTTAAATTAAGATCACATTTTTTTTTATTTCCTTGAGGAACCGGTTGATTTAAATACATCATGTTATTTGATATAGTTTATTTATATTATATAATTTTAATTCTTTACACCATATTTATCGCAGTACATCCTCTAATTTCATCCTGATCCCACAAAAATATCTTTTAATTTCCAAGACACCTGCCCAAGACCAAGCAAAGCCATAACTTATATCACAAAAAAAATTAAAAAATCACTATGAACACCCATAAATTCAACCCTCCTTCACACTCCTTTTCCAAAAATAATTCCTTAAAGACATAACACAGCTCGACATCTTTGCTTATTTCTATTTAAAGGACTCACGTGGAGCCCACAGACTATTCTTAACAAGTTACATCTTAATAATATTCCCCTCTCATTCTCCCCAACTTTTACTATGGGTGCTTATTCTATGTACTTCTATTACGTATAACGTACTTACTAATTCAATTACAACATGTATATATTCTGTTTATTGTATGGTAACAATGAGACTGAAGAAACTAATGAATCGCATTACAAGATTCGGTGTAATCAAACATTCTCCAACTTCTCTCTGGTGTTATAAGCAAGGGTGAATTAATCATACTTTTTAATGACAATAGCTCCTTGATTGGATTCTATTCATGTCCTTAAGGAACATAAAACTTCTCTTTATCTTTTCTCTCCTTATCTTTCATTTTATTCCCACCTCATGTCTTCAAGTACCTTAAAAATCCTTCGCCTTTCGTGCAAATTAGCTTTGGAATTCCGTACACGTTTCTCTTTGTAAAGGCTACTCGCCAGTATTATTTAATTCCATTTATTTCTTCATTCATATATATATATATATATATATTAAATACTTATTTTTATCAGCTATTATGTCATTAAATTAGATATAATTCAATAAACTACTTCTTTTTTGCTGAGAAGCTGTATAATATTCTTTATTTTCGGCAATGAAAACTTCCAGGTATGAAAAAAATTGTTTTATTTGTTGATTTACATGTGATTGTGGCAGAAAATTATTCACATCTTCTAAACTTAACTTCCATACTTTAATAGCGATTTATGGCTAGAAAAGAGTTAATTAAAAAATAATACACGTCCCAATACATGTTAATGTTGTGTTGTTACATAAAATGTTATAATTTCCTAAAGCCTGATGTGCTCCCTTGTCATGATTTGAAATTCATGAGTTATAAATATATTAAAAATATACTATCTGGAGCATCAACATTCCTAGGACTAATAATTGGTTTTTGGTATGGGGGGGATACTACTGACCTTTGGATATGATCATTGTTATTCAATGACTGCTTCATAGCTGCATTCCAGTTTTACAATATATTTTAATTTTATTTAAGATGTCTGCGTAGTTTGTTTCCAAATGTTTAGTGTCTGTTTGCCAATTTACTGTTGTTCTATTGTTTTTTGTGATTTGGTGGGTTCCAGTAATTTTCTATTGTTGTTTTTTTTATTCTGTGCGTAATATTTCTGTTTTATTGCAATTGAATTCGGGTTGTAATTTTATGCTATAGTATACTTTGGGGAGTCGGGATGGAAAATATGTCAGCCATCTAAGTGGTATTTTTTAAACAAACTCATCACAACAAAATTATCAAAAATAGAATGAAAACCCCTGTTAATAAAAAAAATAAGACTCGTGGATTGAAATTTTGGAATTTTTAACCAGTACAACAAAAGAATATGCCATGTGCTTGCAAATCTCTGGAAGAGTGCAAATGTTTTTCATTACAATGGTTAAACATTTAATCAAAAGTATGATGTTTATAGACCGCGTTATTATTTCTTCTTAGGATCATATATATATATATATATATATATATATATATATATATATATATATATATATATATATACGTATATACATACTGGAATTTCATTAATTATTCCGGTTAATCGACGGTTTATATTATACATTTTTTTTTTAATTCAGAATTTAATTAAGTACTGCTTCCACAGACAAATGCTACTTGAATTTCAAACTTATTATTATTATTTATCCAAATTTTTACTTACCACACTTGGGATAAGATATGACCCACACATCATCAGGTCTTACTTCGAAGTTTCTGATCCTCTCCATGTACTTGATGAACTCCTTTGGCATTACCAGCCCAGAAGGTTTCACTCGGACCTCCGCAACAGGCATAAGCCCTGAGATCCTGTGGTCCTTAATGTACTCGGAGATGGGATCCTGTAGCTCGTCGTAGGACATCATTCTGCAAACAGAGATAATCAAACAGTTAGGAATGTATTGCTTATGTGTTGTTGTTTTTTTATTTAATGCATTTAAATTGCTTAAATTATGGTGGTCAGGAATTAGTTTAACGTGTATATAAAAATTAATACTAAAAACGAGAAAAGAAATTCTAGAGATTTGATTGTTTAAAGAAGGTGACGGTGGATTTCCTAAGTATGAATAATGATTTATACGTTTTTCTATAATTCAAATTTATACTTGCGTATTTACAAAAAAATAATAAAACGTTTTTCTCAGCAGAATTCACTCATATAATATACTAAATGTCATTAAAATATTTATTAAACTAGTTTCACCACCTTCAGATCACGTTGACATACGGACTACGACACCCAGCGAGGTCGACTAGAGAAAGTGCCAGATCTTAAGGTCGCCAGTAGGAAGTAATCGCCTTCCTTTCTATCGCCGGTAGTTCTCGCTGTAATTATCTTCCAGGAATTCAGACTCGCCCTACCTTACCGAGATAACGTAAATGAAATCATCAGGAAATACTGATCCAAGAAAGGAATGTGATTATATCTTCACAACTGTGAAGACTGTTCAGTTGGAGGCAAACCCTGAAAAATCTTGGACTCAGTATTGTATTAATCATTGGTCATCAAAATCATCAAAATCATTGGTTTTGCATGGTCCTTACTAAGATCAAGTTAACCGGCTGTTTTTGTTTTCTCTCTACATGAATTATTTAATTAAGAGTATCCACTTCATAGAGGCTTGGTGTGCTCATTAAGGATATTACAGCCCCAGGTTAGATAAATAATTATCTACGACAATCAGACACAAACCTTGGTCCCGAAGCACAATATCTTACCAACTGAGCTACCTCATACTCATTTTAATTTATAGATATTCTATGTTATTTTAACAACTTCTTCTTTATAATCTGTAAGTATATTTAGGAAAATAATATTTCCATATGTTATTATTTAATTGAAATACATTCATATTTCATCTTCATCATGACAGAGGTTTATCTTCATATTTTTGAATTACTTTATAAATAGCACATCACTTAACTCTGACTTAAGACTTTACTTTGAGTATAAATTATTTTGCCAAAATTAGACTATTGTTAAAAGTTTTTGAGGTACATTTTGATAAAGCTATCTTAAAGAGCTCATTTTAAATTTCATTCGTAATAATCAATGCAATAACTCATTTAAACTGGCATGGAAAATCTCGTAACTCCGTCAGCCAATTTAAATTCGTTAAATTATCTCGGAGCACTATATGCAAAGGTACATTTCTAAGCACGTAGATATCTATAACTTGTATATAAGTAAGGATTGTACTAAATAGTAAATATAATAGAAACTATACATCGTCGGCACCATGTTAAAGTAACGAATGTGAGCCTGGTCAACGTTTCTCATTCGTTAATTTAACCTAGTGGTGAAGATATGAACGACTTCGTACTTGTTTCCAAATTTTTATTTTTCCCTTATTAGATGTATATGAGCTTTGGGGTTCCACTAAACCATCGAATTCCTCTCGTATCCAATCCTTACAATCCAAAATCCTCAACGCTCCTTACTTTGTCACAAATATAATCATCCATAAAGACCTTAATGTTCCATATATTTCCGATTTGGCCCAATCCAGATACCTATCCTTCCATAACAAACTGCAGAACCATCCGAATCCTCTCGTTTCAAACCTAGCTTCCTCCTCGATCCCTGATAACCCTCAGAGGCGTCTGAAAAGAAGATGGCTTCGGGATCTTCTAAAATAGAACTTTAATTTGAGGTCTACCAATGGGTAGTTCCTCCTTATGTTGTACATGTCATGTTACCAATGTCACATTTACTTGTTGTATTTTCCATGTAATACACTTGTAAATTTCATTAAAATAAAAAAAAATGTATCAATTATTGTAATTTCACTGTGGGAAAATTAAAATATCCACTATTTAATAGTCTAAAATGTTACATAAAGATTTTTTAAAGAAAACCTTATGATATTAACTTATACGAACGTTTTTATATTTTTGTTTTATGTTGATGCCAAAATCATAAAAGTATTAATGCCATATAGTACTGATAATTAAACATCTTAATTTTCGAACTAATTTTGTTTTATATTATTATTATATCTTCTTATTTTGTATGAGAAGTTTAATAGATACATTTGACAGGTCCTCATTGAGTTCCAAGTAGTAATATTTGAAAGATATCTTGACAGAGCTATATTCGAGCAGCAAACCAAAGTTTTGATATTAATGCTATTATAATGCTTTTAGTAGAATTAAATGATATCAAGCCTACCGGACTTTGTCTTTAAAGTCTTATTTGACTGCCATCTTGTTTTGCTTAATCAATCGGAAAATTTTTTCAAGTTCAGAAAATTTCTTTCGCTTCACCTGGTACTACACTACTGCAGTCCTGGCAAGACCTGGGCCTCCGCCACCACTTTACTCCATTCCAGGTGGCACTCAGATAGGTTCCTCCAAATTCAACTTCAAACCAATTTTCATGGTCACCGTCCAACATATTTTTCTGGGAGTATACAGAGATCTACTCTTTCAATGCGAACCGCCCATCTAAGTATACTCTTCCTAATAACTAAGAATATCGAGCTTAAAATGTAGTTCCCTTAGTTCGGCGTTGCTTCTGATTCTCCACATATGCTGTACCAGAACAGCAAGACGCTCCAGTTTTCCTTGATCAGAATCTTACTACCATACACAGCATCCAATCTAATCACCATTCTATATATTACAAGGTTTGCTCTCCTACTTTTGTATTGGATCCCCTTTTGCAGGGCGTAGAAACATCTAGTTCTTGCTGCCATCCTGCCTTTTATTTCTGCTTCCAAATGATTATTTTCATTCATTTTGATTGGTTTTACTACAAGCCACAGGTATGTTCATCACAGTTGTGAAACGTGTCTTCTCACTATTCTCTCTCACTCTGTGTCTCTCTCTTTCGAGTAGTTTTCATATATCTTGTCTTTTTAGCTATCATGGATCCTAAATCTTGAGCTGCCTGCTTAAACTTTGACAGCGCCGGCGAGCTTTGATTCATTCATACAATCAGTGGGAAAGTATCCGTAATGCTCCAGATAGAATTATGGCTAAAAGTCTACCTCAGTCACTTAACGCCCTTATAGAAATTTTTTCTCTAAAAGTAAAACTAATATAACAGTATCTCTAATTTTTTTTTGGAACAGAAGTTGAAAGAAGTATACGTTCAATGAATGAAGTTAATGTAACTAAAAAAATTATATATTTTTTATATAATATTATTTTTTTTATCTCCTGGGTTTAAGTATTGATGTTCCTTCGGAGTGTAATGAAACTTATATTCGATGGGGATAGTTTTTGTGGTGTAATTATTAAATTAAGGCCCCCTGTTTAAGAGTAAATAGTCATTTCTGATCATGGGATTGAACCTTTGAAAATCTAAAAGTATAGCAATTATAACCATCGAAACTAAAAGTAATTAAGTAACTTCAGTCAAGGAGAAAAATTTTATTTAATCACCTTCTACGCAACTATCATTTCAATATGCAACCATTATTTTTTTTCTCATTGCAATTCACTAAAACAGTTCCTGATACTAATATTCCGTGATTCCTAACCTCAAAAGACTAATCCCTCTCATTTTCATTGATTTTACATTGATTATATTCCTCTGGTATACAGCCGAAAACTAAAACAGGAAATTGTGGGCTGATGAGATGAAACAATGGAAACTAATGAATTGAGATCCAATTTGGGTCCTCAGAGGCTATTATGATTTCAGTTAATGCGGCAACTTGATCTTCCATTCCCACAGAATCTTCCGAATTGACTTTTTAAGTTTCCAATTTGCACTCCCATGTTTCTCAGTCCACTCATGAAGCTAAAGATCTTCTAATTTGCATATTTCTTCCGGTACAACTGCTTCCTTTATTAAACCATTCCTTCTATCTCTTTCTGAAATACCTTACTAAGTAACTTCTACTTCTATCTAAAATTTTCTCTGTTCAAATATCACTGATTACATCACCTATCACAGATCTAATGCATCTACATCAACAATTTTATTTATGGTTAAGTACTTTTTCTCTTGTAACGACTTTATATGTTCTATAATCCGGGAGCTTTTACCAACTTACTGTATGCGCTCCCTCCTCATTCCAGTTCGGCACATTGATCAAGATTTTCATTCAGCTGCCAAACTGTCAAACCATCTTAGTTTGGGTATTTAAGACCTATCTTAGATAGGTATCTAAGCGTATTTCTTTTCGTGTATCTTCCTAAGATTTTTCCTTTCTCCATTCGGATCTTTCGACCAACCCATACTCTCATCTCGATCTTTGTAAAATCAATTTTCCGAAATTTCAACTGATGTTGAAGGTCTTCACCAAGATGACAAAAGACATAAACTATTAATATTATTGGTTGAAGGTAAAAATAAAATATATTCAATGGACTAAACAAAAAATAAAAGTCAATTTAGAACGTGTAACCTTAAGCATTACATTTAGCATGTAAGTTAAAATGTAATCAAAATTGTGATAAAATAAGAATAAGATATCAGTTGGTATTAAACTAGTATAGGTTATACCTGATAGCTGCAGGTTACCAGATAAAGGAACTGAAGGTTTACAGATAAATTATTTAATTTATTTCCATTATTTTATCCATTTTTACCATTCAAAGGGGAAATTATGATTTTTTTTTACAATCCTTATTGAATGGAATAACATATTATCCCTGATATTATATTTATTACTTAAGAATAGTTTTCCATAATTAAGGGACTAAGCGACGACAGTTAGCAGAAACGATGTACAATGTGACCCTAATATAGTGATCTTACATTGTCTAGGCCATTGTCTATTGACGCCTTTGAGACGAACGTTCGTTCCTGAAAGCGTCCATTAAATGGCAACCATTTAACCATTCGTGGTAATGACAACCGAGCCGTCTGCATTGTCAGCCGCTTATAAATGACTGGATGATGAGCTGGCCAT